GGTTCACTTGGGACATTTCACGGTTGACCTCTCTTTCTTCATTTTTTTGACTCCAAAAGTGCTCCCTAGCCTTCCCTAGTCATATATAACCTGCAAATCATGAAAAGCACTAATAAGAGCATTTTGTTATCACTTTTATTAGTAAAACTATGCAAGAAGGCGGTTATTTAGGGCCTGAATATAGTTAAATTCACCTATTATCAACAAGATACAACAAGAAGTAGCAAAATAGGGTTATACTTTATTGAAGCCTACTTATTTATCATTTATTTATTTGCTATCCTTTGTGGTTTTGGTATAGTCCGATATCTATCAATGCTAGGATAGATGCATCACAAAGTGATGATCTCGTGTTGCATTTGTGCTTAGGAAAAGCATAATTGCTGTGGTTACTTACAATTTGCTATTCTAATGCCAAAGAGTATTGCATGAGTTGGCATAACTACAATTTGCTATTCTACGTGAAATTCACTTTCTAAGAATGTAGAATCAAATGAGTCTAGAGAGTTGGCTTATGCACATCTTTATTCTTGAAAGTTTTTATATCATCAAATTTTAAGATTCATGGAAAATGAAATTCTTATTTGTATCTGAAACTGTACTCCGCTAGATCTTTATACTAAATTTATAGTACTTTCTGTGAGGAACATGGTATTCAGTGTATAGAAAACTCATACCCCCATGATATGGTTAATTTATGTACGAACATATGCTATAACTTATGGGATCAAGCTATTCTTGATGCTTGTTATGTCCAATATAGGGGTCTGAAAATGAAGGTTTCGAGTTATAAAGGGAAAAGAAACCGAAGTTTGAAATACTTCAAAGTATGTGGTGTTTGTGTCACTGATCTACGAGTTAAATAAATAAGAGTGAAAAGATATACGGAATATTTGCAAAATATGCTCAAAATCGTAATATTATTACCTATATAATTGATGGAAGACGATATGCAACATTATTGAAAACTACTTTTGAAATTCCTCAGTTGGATGGTTATGATTCTAATTATAGTGGTTAAACAAATAAACGTCTTTGTGGTGAGAATACTATGAACCAAGAAAAAACCAAACGATGAGAAAAGAAAAAAAAACCTAGGTCGAACTTTATTTCCTCATAATCTATAATTTTCTTTTGGTGACTTTTATGATGTAATGTTTCAATTAAAAAAAAAAAGAACATTTGTGCTGGGATGACATGGAGACTCTAGATGATGGAGCCAAGGTGGCTGTTGTAGCGCCTAGCACCAGTCTGTGAAAACACACTCTGGTAGCACCTCTGTGAATCCATGTATTTTTGATTGCGTTCATGCGCCAACTGATGGTGCCTAGCCGGCAGTCTCTTTGAAGTTTTTGTTTCAGATTCATCTGTTATCGCCTAGGCACTGTTATTTGGAGCCTAGGCACGATACACCCAGGATGTACTATTTTAGGGACTTACACAGTACAGAAACATTTTAAGTCAACAAACAAAAGGAGAAGCAAGAGGAAAATGAGTTACTTGTAGAGGACCCTTCTTAATAGTTAACACTCTATCCGATCACCCATATGATCTTTACATATCTTGAAGTTTTGACATCTAATTTTGTTTGTCATCTCCACGCTTTCTTGTTTCCTGAGAACCTTTTTTCCCCAATCACAAGCTCCTCCACATTAAGTTTTAAAGCACACTTTTGGTGTGGTGTGGTGGTGGNGGTAGGATTGCTGTTTTTTGCTATCGTCATTTGTTTCTGTGCTTTCTTCCCAATTAACTTTTCCTTTTTAAAAATAACTTGAACTGTTTTATTTAGGTGGCAGACAAGGTCCAATGACGCTGTTAAACGATGATTTTCATGCTTTCTCTTTTTTTCTCTCCTTTATACGAGTTTTGTCCTTTTTCCCTTGTTGCTATTTATCTCATCATTTGTAATTCCTTCCTCGGAGCTGAGAAAATTAGAAGCAAGAACAATGATTGGAATCGTTTATTGACCAACTAATCTTGCGTCTTCCAGTTGATTGTTTTTCTCTACTCATCTCAGAGAGGAACTTATATCATGTGAATTTTCGATACTTAGACATCTTGCAAGTTTTTCTTTCCCTATTAACTTTCTCAAAATTTCAAATGTGCGGATAGAAGTTATTCTCATCCTATGATATTTGTCTTAAAGTTAATACTATTAATAATCATGGAGCATCTTCTCTGAATGATATAAGTCCTAAAGACGATTTCCGTTCAGATGAACACAGTGTATTCCTTTTTTAAAGTTCTTTTTTCCTTTAAAAAAGAAACTGCTGTCCTTTGAGAAATCATTGTGGTAAGTAGTTGGAATCTCTATTGATTTGCGACTTTGAATGTCAAAAGCATATGCTTGTGAGATTTTAAGTTGGCAACAATTTTCAAATGCTTTTTGGTGCCAGTCAAGGAGAAAAGTTGGAATTGCACTTGTAAGGAGCGAGTTCACGGGTTAACTGTAATCTGATCAGGTGCTATTTTTTACTGTTTGTGAAGGTTTTCTGTCTCAGCTAACGAGTCTGGTCAAGACTGGCAAAACACACAGGAAATGGCAAGAAATATGGGTCATCTCTTGAGATCGATGATTGAGCTTCCAGTATCCAAAGTTGGTTTTACAAAGAACTCAGCTGGTCGACTCATTTGCTCTTCAACTCAAGGAGCGCAAATCAAACAGGATCGTCCTGGAGAGCACGATCCTCGTACCTCAGATGAGAAGGAGAAGGTTGATAACAAAAATGAAGGGAGTACTGAAGTTGAGGGCGAGAATGATGAAGGGGGCAGTGATCACATTAATAAAAAGACTGGTGAGATTGGAGGCCCTAAAGGTCCTGAGCCCACCCGCTATGGCGATTGGGAGCGTGGTGGTCGCTGCTCTGATTTCTGATTTTCTTTCAGCTTTTGATTCAACTTCCATCTCATAGGTGATGATTTACCCGTTGCATATGTGGGAGACGAATAAATAATAACGTGAGTGACAGTCAAAACAGTCGTGTTAGTTTCGAAGTTTTCTTTTTCTGATGATAGGGTTGTTCCTCTGATGCTTGAATGTTGCACTCATTGAATAAGAGCAGTCTGATAGTATAGGTGATAAGTCTTGTTATTAGGAAGTTCTCTTTATGATTATGGGAATGCCTGGCTGATGCCGCAATATTGCAGTGTATCAATTAACGATAGCAGCGTTTAGAGGATTGTATGATTTGAAGTTTTCTGATATTTGGGACCTATTTATGTCTCTTTTCTCAGGCTAGCTACGGTTGTTTTCCAACATATAGGGTTCACTTTTGAGGCAGTCAGAAGTTAAGGAATAAGACGATTTAATCGTCTATTCATTAAAGTGAAGGAGTTGATAACTCGCTTGCACTTAAAATAATTGCCTATCTCGTTTGAAGGTGACTTCAATCATTCTTTCTGTAATGAAACATTCAATTATTATTTTTTCCCGATGTGCCATTTATCATTTTCTAAGTCAGTACCTAGTGGGTACATGGTTTTGTTGAATGAATTAATGGCATTGACTAACCCTAATTTATAAAGTCAAGAGTCAATACCAAAATGATATAAATGATTTTTCTCCTTCTCCATTCCCCACCACCAAAATGACAATCTTAAGAAAGGAGGATGTGATCCTTGCTGGCCAGTTTTGAGTAATACAAGCTTTCTTCTTTCTCCCTTGTAGCGTTTCTTCCTGAAGTATTCGCAGTAAGGTTAGAAATGACTCCTAAAACCAGATTAACAAATGGTATCTGCAACGTTAAGTGTGCTTTAGCCGTCAACCAAAAATTATCTTTTAAGTGGAACACAAAAGAAATTTATTACGCCACCGGTCTCATTTTATGTTTTAGTTTGACAAGACATAGAGTTTAATAATGTAAAGAAATTTTTTGTATTATGTGGTTTTAAACTAGAGCTTTGTGTAACATATTAAAATACTTTTGGAATTTGATGGTCTCAAATATGTCATATCATTTCTACCGGGGAGTTACTAAAGGTAAAATAGGAATGGTAGAATTAAAAATATAGTACTAAATTTGAGAATGTTACATTCTTTTTAGATAAACTAAAAGGTTAGCTAGTACTTATTAGTATTTTGCTAGATTGACATATGTAGTACTAAATGGATGAAAAAGCATGGTAAGTGTAGGAAGGAGAAATCAGATTTACATCGAACCAAGAAAGAGTTGACGAGGAATTTAAGCTTAATTAAATTCGTCTACTTCTCCTAATACTCACCGAAATGAAACTAAACTACTCCAATATTTATGTTTAGGTAAAGAGTAGGAAGTCATTCTCTTTCATCCTTACTGTAAATCATTCCAGGGAGAAAAACTATCCCTGAATTATTTGATTAGTAAATTACCTTGAGAAAGTTCCAACTATTGTTTTAATATTAAATTACACTACTTTTCTGAAAGTTGACTTACGATATATAATGACACCCTTTATCTTGAAGAAGCCAATCAATGGTTAAAAGTCGCTCATCACCCCTCCTTCTACCCCCTAAATATTTACTCTTACTTTGTTTTTAAAACTAGATCGACTTGTTTAACATATAGTAGTACCATTTTACAAGGCAAGCAACCCCATGGAATTGCAAAAAACCATTGCTCTGTTTCTTCTCCTCTCCTATTATTTAATTACCATAGTCAAAAGCACTGAAATTTGCTTTACCTCTGCATGTCGCCGGGACGAACCTTTGATTCGTTTCCCTTTTCGTCTACAGAAAATCCAATCCCAAAATTGTGGCTATTCAGGTTTCAACTTGCACTGTGATGCAGCAAACCAAACAATTCTTAAGTTACCAGATTCATCAGGAGAATTTACTGTTCATGATATAGATTATTCTACACAAGAATTATGGCTTAACGACCCAAAAGATTGCTTACCTCAGCTTCTTCTTAAACTTAACCTTTCTTCTTCTCCTTTTTCTGGGGTTTATTATCAAGATTTTACGTTGTTCAATTGCTCGTTTTCTTACACAAGGACCAAGCTAAATCCAATAGCTTGTTTAAGTGGTTTAAATTATACGGTGTACGCTACATCTTCTATGAGAGGAGCTAGATTGTTGTCAACACCAGCATGTAATTTGATTGGAACTATTGCTGTTCCAGTTCAGTGGCCATTTTTCGAACAGGTTTTGTCTTCGGATCTTAGTGGTGATATTAGGCTGTCTTGGGCTAATCCAGATTGTAGAAAGTGCGAGTCTAAGGGTGGACGATGTGGTTTGAGGAAAACCAATTTTAGTCAGCAGATCGTTTGTGAAAATGTTCGCCAACGCGGTAATATCCATAACTTCATCTTTTTTTTACTCCTTAAAATTTCTCTAATTTCGTTTTTTTGTATAGTGGTATTTTTATGCTAAAAACTGAAAATTGCCTTTTTTGGCTTTCCTCCTTTTACCGTTACTTTAATGTCATAAAAAATTACTCCAGTTTTTATGACTTTACAGAAGGTGGATATATTTGAACTATTTTAAAGTGATGAAAATAACTTTGTCACTAAATTAAGGGACTTTTACACAAATATTCATTATTTACTTTTTCTATCTATATATATAGATTATACACAATTATATACACACAATATATAAATTACGCATATATTATATCTGTTATTATTAATTTAAGCGGTTGGTGAGTTAAGTTTAATAACTATATATACGTGAAATCATTTTCTTTCTTTTGAAATACCTCTTATGTTTCTAATCTCTTTTGTGTACGTAGTTAGCTTTTTCATATGACAGAAGTTTAATTTTTCGTGTTATCTAATAGAAGTAGGGTTTTATACATAAAGGTCTGTATTAAGGGTAATTAACTTTCTGGTAATTCAATCTTCTCGAAGCAAAGAAATCCCTACCTCTCTTCACATGTTTAAGTCAACAGCTGCCTTGGGAGACTTTTTGTTCATTTCATGTGGTTGGTAGTCCAATAATATATATTAGTACTGAAAAAATTATTTAATAATCAACTAGGGATACAGTTTCTAATATCTGAATATGCACACCCTAGATCCATAATGTTAAATATAATGTAGTTTTAGTTCAAAATACTTGAAGTTGTACTTTATCCATCAAGGTCGGGAAATAGGCTCTAGTTAATACCAAACGAACAGGGAGAAATTCTTAGGTTGAAAGTGGCTTCAAGAGAAGGGGAAAAAAAGGAGAGAATTCAAGTTTTACGTACTAACAGTGAAAAAAAACTCATATTTACGTAGTCGGATTACTTATGATTGTAGATAATATTATTTGATAAACATCCATTCTTCACTTACAATTAATGATAAGTAGCATGCTATTGTAAATGTTTTTTGCCATGTAGCTTAAATCGATAAGGAAAAAAAAGAACACCTTAAGATTTTTGGTGTTACTGTAACTTATAAGCTGCAATCTAGGAATTAATAATAGGGGTATTATCACTTTTAGTCCGAGCCAAAAACTATTTAAATTTGGTAGTCGGAAAAGTATATAATTTTTGTATATAACATACAGAAGGTATATATATACAAAAAATATATAAATTTTATACATTTTTTCGACTATTATTTTTACAACGACTGTACAATGAGTATCATTTTTCCTTAATAATAAGCCTGCTGAAGTGGAATTTGAAGCTATCAACGAATGAGTTTTAAGTCAATCATAAAAGATAAAGTAATAAGGAGAAGAAGATGCAAGAAATGATTATTTGGATGAACTTGATGTGTAGCAGCTGACCCCATCATCTGACTTTTTAAGCCGTTTTTCATTATTTTAGTGGCCTTTGTTTTCGACCGTCGTGGTGGTTTTGCATCTTTATGTTTCATTGCTCTTTCTCTCTCTCTCTCTCACTCAATAGTTGTATCTAACCCAAAAGAAAAAGAACTTTTATCAAACGCCTTTCCCTTTGCACTCAATATTCTGCCTAAGTTTGACTTAGGAATTGGAGCACTGTGTTTGAGTGAGTCAACAGTCCCACATACGCAACCACACACCCATTCTTCTACGTTATAACGATATGCGCGGAATGTTGCCTTTACTTTTTCCTTTCTTGCTTAATTTTAATAGGAAAAGTGACGAAGGAAAAAGGTTGAACAAAACAAAACGAATAAAGAAAAGAAAGAGCGAAATCAAAGTAAAGCTCCCATTATTCATAAAAAGGGCTAAAAATACCGGATTGTTTGATAAATGGTTTAAATTTACTCTTTGTCCATCTTTTGGTCCAAAAATACACACAACGTTATCTTTCGGTGTATAAATACCTTCGCGACTAACAAAATATTGTGTGGTCCTTTTTTTAATGTGTTGACAAAATTTTATTGGGTCACGTGGCACCTCAGCCTGGATTGAATAAACTTGCCCCAGATTTCGACCTGGGGCGGGTTTATCAATCCGGACGGGGGTGCCGCATGACCTAATAATTTTTTGCTAGCACATTAAAAAGGGGACCACACAATATTCCGTTAGTCACAAGAGTATTTATAGACCGAAAGATAATGTTGTGTATATTTTATTACCAAAAGGTGGACGGAGCGTAAATTTAAACAATTTACCAAACGATAGAGGTATTTTTGGCCCTTTTCCGTCTTTTATATTAATGTTATTCGCGTTAGCTTTGCACGCATTTTAACTTTGATCTGTCACTTCTCATCTGCACATGTAACGCTGATATTTTGTCTGCTGTTATGTTAGATCAATTTTATTAACTGAAGTAATGACTTGAAAATTTTGCAGGGCTTCCAAAAGGCGCACGCTACGCTATAACAGTGGGAGCTGGGGTGCCGGCAATGTTGTTCCTGATTGGGCTTCTATGTTTCATTTGTGGAAGGATAAGGTCTTGCAGGAGGAGAGGTAGAGCCCAACCAATACTAGAATTCAGTTCTACTGTGACACCACAGCCCATTGTATTTATGGGCCTAGATGGGCCTACAATAGAATCCTATCCCAAAACTATCTTGGGAGAGAGCCGACGTTTGCCCAAGCCCGATGATAATATTTGCTCCATTTGCTTGGCTGAATATGAGCCCAAGGAAACCTTAAGGACAATTCCTGAATGCCAACACTGTTTTCATTCAGAATGCATTGATGAATGGCTTCGATTAAATGCTTCCTGTCCAGTTTGCCGCAACTCTCCAAAGCCCAAGCCATTATCCCTTAGTGAGGTTCCCTAATTATGTCTCATTTGAGTGTAAACTTCATCTTTTGATTTATGATATGACTACACGAGATGAACCTTAGTTTAGTGAACTGAGAGCCTCATGGAATAGGACTCCCAGTTATTGCGCACTATGTATGTATAATGAGGTGCTCACTACTGGTTGTTGGCTTTTATTGTTGAGAAATAGATGTTTGGAAGTCATACTCAATGTTCTTGTGAAAAATTAGAGAAATATCCATAAAACTTTTTTTTTTCTCATGGTTTTTGGAGTACATGCTAATAATGATATCATCCTCATCTTACATGCCAAATGGTCATGATGCAATTTGCAAGACTGATTAGTTGCTGTTTTGTATAGATGCTGTTTGAGAAATAAATATTCAAAGTCCTATTCAACCAAATTGATATAGGTATACACCAAGGATATGCTAGCAGACTAGACTTGGGTACGGCCAGGTATTCAGTGTCTGGTTCGATAGGACCAGGAAGAAGAAGGTTTGGCAAGTGAAGGGGAATTCCGCTATAAGAGAAAGAGTGTCTCGATTCAATCATTCCGATCAGGACAACCGGGTTGGTTCGTTTCGTCCTCCTATATACGCAATTCTCTATCTTCGTTCGTGATCATGTTTGGGGAAAGGTAGTTGTAGAGGAGCGGCTGTGAAATGGCGACTCGCCCCTTTCCATTGAAGTAGGGAGGGCCTCCTTCCCTTTGTTTCTTTCTTTAAGGTGAGAAATATTATATATCACAGTTACTCAATATTCAAACTTGCACCAGTTCCAAAACTGCTTCCAAGCTCACAGCCGAATTGGCTTCTTTCTGCATTTGAACCCACGTTTGGCGAATTTATAGAGCCGAAAGGATTTGCTGGCATAATGGGAATGCCTTCACCTTCTAGCATTTGTATCACAACTTTCATGGATGGTCTATCCGCTGGAGACCATTGAATACACCAAAGTCCTACAATTGCTAGTTTCTTGATTATGCTGCTGTCATCTTCATCCTCAATTTGGATTTCTATTTCTTCTCCTTTCTCTAGTTGTTTGTACATCCACTCTGGGTAGTAAATCTCACTAATATCGTTCTGTTCATTTGCGACTTCAAATTTCTTCCTTCCACCAATCATATCAAGCAACAACATGCCAAAACTATAAATATCTGCTTTATATGACACATTTCCATAGTTCCTGGAGAACACTTCAGGGGCAATATAGCCAATGGTGCCTCGAGCAGCAGTCATTGATACAGCACTTTGGTCCTTGGCACACAACTTTGCTAGCCCAAAATCTGCAACTTTTGGATTGAAATCTTGGTCTAGCAAGATATTATGAGGCTTAATATCAAAATGTACAATTCTTTGATTGCACCCTTGATGCAAATACTCGATCCCTTTGGCGATTCCTACAGCTATTTGTTGCATCTTCTCCCAACCTAGTGACGTGTTTCCATTCCCTGATGATATGATCTTTTGAAGCGTATCGTTTGGTAAATATTCATACACAAGAGCTCGTCGATATCCATCAGCACAATATCCAACTAAGCGCACAACATTCACATGGTGAATTCTGCCTATACTGCCCACTTCATTAATAAAGTCTTCACCATCGCCCTTGAAATTGTTAAGGACCTTAACCGCAACAAGAATTTCCTTGGTCAGCTTCCCTGTGTATACTTTCCCATAACCTCCTTGACCTAGTTTATACTTGAATTGCTTTGTAATCTTTTTGATATCTGCATAACTGTATCTTGTAGGTCTGAGAGCTTTATAATCCTCCAAAAACCTCTCAACCCTTTTTTGATCCTCTTTCTTTATTTTCAATTTGACTAGTCCGTAGACTGCTACAAAAGCAGACGCACCACCCAGTACACTTGCGACAATGCCTTCTTTTGACAGCCCTGTAAAATGAGGATGATAGCATTATCAGTTTGTATTATTATAAAGAAAGTGTTTAGGATCGAAATAATCAAGTATCATGCAGAAGCTAACTAAGCAAACCTTGAACAACGATAAATCAGAGAACATAAGAAAAATACACCAAAAAAAACACAAACATTTAACGTGGTTCGGTCAATTGACCTACGGGGAGATGAGTAATCCACTATATAAAGAGAATACAATATATCGAGAGAACAACCTCATGAAGATGCACACATAAGTGACAGTATAACACTTGCCTCACGTTCTCCCCTAAACAAGACTCTCAATCCCTTTATGACTAACTAGTATTAGTACTCGCGCAAATGCGCAGACACTAATCATGTCAAATATTTAAGTTATTTGGATTGTATGTAAATAATCTTAAATTTACACTTTCTCAGTAAATGTAGATAATCATTGGATATTAACTACATGAAACAAATTAATCATTTCTTCTATTTTTCTATTTTGATACAATTCTTGCCGGTGTCATTTGATCCTAAAAATAGTTAGGAAACAAAATAATAACTCATATTTATGGCAAAACAATCAAATGTTGAGACAATGAATGACTCTTTGGATAAGACTTAACTTTTTTACTACTACTTTACCCCTTATTTGGTGTGTTGATATCTCTTAAAAAATATTTCTTTCATAAAATATCAGTTTCTAAAACATTATTTTTCAATAATAATTATTTATATAATAGTGTAATTGAAAATATTATTCTTAATTCAAAACTCATTTTATTTGGCTATCTAATAATATAAAAAATTCTTTAGCGAGTGATTTTTTTACTCCAAATTGATATTTGACATTAACCATGTAAAATATCCTAGTTATTTGAATTATATATAAATAACCTTAACATTTAAACCTTCTAAATAATTATATATAATCGTCAGATATTAATTAAGAAACACTACATGAAAAAAGATTAACATTTTCTCAATACTCGTAGTGATAATTTTATTTTTACACTATTCTCATAGGTGTCTCGAATATTATATCAGTTGGTTAGTAATAATAATTTTTTAAAAACGGCACATAATGTAAATTAAAAAAAAAATCTAAGATATCCTTATCTTATAATCTATGTATTTGAGTTGAAAAAAATATATTTGAAATCGATAAGACTAACTTTCAAATTTGTTATACTCAACAAAGATGAAACATAAGAAGAAATTTATTTTCAATATTTATTTCTTTTATCTTATTTTTTATGTCATTATTTCTTTTGTTACAAAAAAATAATTTATTTCACTATAAAAGGATGAGTTTTAATAAAAATTGTCCACATATGAACTTAATTATATTTTTAGTCTTTGGTTGAAATTATTTCATATTTTTCTTTTGGCTCTATCTAATCAGCCTAAATAGGTGCTCACTTGACCACTTAAATTAAAAAATTGAATGGTGTGTAATTTATATATAATCCATATATAATATGTGTATAATCGTGTGTTGTCGGTATATCATCTATTTATATTAGCTATAAAAAGTAAACAATAAATATGGCCGGATATTATGTAAATATTCCATAAGATTTCAGTTTTTTTAGTTTATCCATAATATAACTTCTATTATAATAATTTTAAAACTCTCTACTAATATTCAAAAATATCTTTTTTTTATTATTTTGAATTAAAAAAAGTAAAGAGTCTTCTCGAAATAATTTGTTTACATTTAAAAAAAAATTCACGTCATACCAATTTTTTCTTTATATTTTTTTTTGTTACACTTAAAGTCACTATAGAAACTATCAATTAGAAATCAATTTCTCTCTTGTTGAGTTTGAAAAAAAAACCTTTCACATAATCTAATAATTCTAAAATAAAATTCTTCAACGAAAAAAATATTATATCCTTGCAATATTGGCTTGACTACAGCTAAATGAAGGGGTTTCAGCTTATACCCGTCAATTTCTTGAACGTGCTAAATTGAAATTAATGATTGCAATTGTATAGCCAAAGTTTTGTTATTTGTTTGATGTCCATTTATGCAAATTGACTCTTCAAACAAATATTCTTCAAGAACTAAAAAGAAATAAATTTTTGTAACATTGACTGATTTTGTGATGTTTCTTTCTCCAGCATGTATGTTTACTTTATTATATATGTAAGTAAACTTTTATTTGGTTTTGTAAACTCTTTTTTGTTATTTATATAAACATAAACGTGTACCCTATATATTACATTTATTTTAAAAGAATTTCATTTTATTCAAATCTAGCTATAGTGTTTCAAAGAACTATACTTATAGGATATTAAATGTGAAAGAGTTTATATTTATATGAAGTATTTTTTTTTTGCTAGAGGCGAAGTAGTATTTAAATAATTAGAAAAAATAACAAAAGTTCCTAATTGCATGTGATCATTAACCGAATTACGTATGATAACATGATAAAAAAAGATAATTTTTTTTTAATTTGAATTTGAATTTTAGAGCTTTATCTATAATTTCAAAATTATCTTTTAATTCAAATTTCGTATATATAGAGTTGCATTTAACTAAAATAGTCAAATATAGAATAACGTTACCATATACTATTGACATTTATTAACTTGTCACTTGAGTTTAATAAGTCAACTCTAAAGACAGTAGTACCTTTGCTAGGTTCTCCTGGGCCGTCAACGCATTCGGTTTCGCTACCTGAACCATTGGATTTCAACTTGCAGTAGTTTCCATCAGCTTCACAATTCCCACAAAATGGTTCAGACCAATGGAGAGGAATCTGGGTTTGACTTAATTCTCGTTGCCCAGAAAGTACCTCGTCTGGGATATATGAAATATTGTACATATATTTACAAGAAGATGGTAAAAAAGAGATACTCATTGAAGAGGCAAGAGCAAGGACGTCATAATGTGGGCCGCTAAGGCAAGTTATCCGATCAAAAGGAATTGCGTACCCTTTGTCTGAGGAACAATTGAATAAAGTGTAGCCAACATATGGATCCTGAGGAATTGTAGTGAACGGAGAAGCAGACGCATTTATGTTTTGAAGGTGCCTTGGAAGACACAAAGGATTGAAACCTGATACTTTTATTTTCTGTGACTTGTAATCAATTTCCCCAACAGAAACATTGGTTGATAGTGAAATGTCAATGTTCTTGGTCGATGCCCACAGGGGAAATGGGAGCATGAATTGAGTAATATTGTCTGATGTACAAGATAGTTCGAAACCAGGGTAGCCACAGCCAGGTGGTTGTTGATTTTTTAGCCGGAATGGGAACCGGATGAGCGGACCAAAGTCGCCACATCTTGTTGGCAAGCATTTATCTTGGGCTGCTACTTCTACGCCAGAGTGTAGTAGTAGCAGTAGATGAAGAAACAAATGAATAAGGATTGGGGTCATTTTCTCTTGGGGAAAAGAAACAAACAGTCTTTGATGATTGCAAAGTCGCCCTCACACTAATTTATGTACATATCTGTGTATACTAGCAGAATAAAAGAAAGAAAGAAGCTTGAACCTTCCTCTTATGCAATTTTCCATAATCTGGATATATTTACTACTCCCTCCGTTTCAATTCATGTGAACCCATTTGGCTGAGCACGAAGTTTAAGAAAGGAGATAAGACTTTTGAATTTGTGGTGTAAAATAAGGTACATATATTTTGTGTGGGTATAAATCACTGCATAAAGGTAAATTGTTTCCAAATAAAAAAAAAGGTCATTCTTTTTGGCACGGATCAAAAAGGAAATAGGTTCACATCAAACAAAGGATTATATAACAGGCGTGTTGTGATATTTTAATACTAGTGTTATTAGAACCAAAAAGCAATTTCTATAGCTTAGACCTTCCATGTGTAAGGCATGGGAAGGATGAATGTTCTTTTTTTAAAAATGTTCACAGCGTGTACTTGTTGGCCAAAGAACAATAAAAAGGAATAATACCCCCGGCCCCACCACCAACTCCCTGTCAAATTACTCAACGTCCCTGGCAAACGCGCACAACAAATAAAGGGATATTCCCACGCCTCACTTATTATATTCTACTCACAATAAAGGCTCGGAGTATAATTTATTTTATTACTATAATTAGCTAATACGGATACAAGAGGCCTCAGGTAACGAATCAATAAAATCACCATTGCTCTCTTTAATTTTCTTGAATTCTATTAATTGTTTTTTAATTATTGATAATTCTTACTGCTAGGATTCGTTTGGTTGGTGGGATGGAATATACAAGGATATTCTATTAGTTGGTATATCCCATGTGATTAATTATCCCACTTTTTATATGAGATATCTAAAATGATAATCCCACCATTTTAATACAAAATAGTTCTCAAACTAATTACTGCCTATAACTAAATACGAGATAAAATAATTCTATTTTTTATCCTGATCCCACCAACCAAGTGATCCATAAGGCCCTACTCGTGTCCCCATAAATTTTAGGAGTCCGGAATCAAAATGTGATTTTTTGGAGTCAAACTATACAAATAGGTGGTAAAAAAATGATCTTTTTATATATAGCGTCATAATACCTGGCGCTATATACTAACAGTAACGACACCGTTAAGGTATAGCACGAGGTATTGTGGCGCTATACTGTAAAAGCTGACATGGCCAGGTATAGCGCCACAATACCTTGCGCTATATATACATCATTAATGTATAGCGCCGGGTATAGTGGCGCTATACATAGATATTTTATACCCCTCCGTCTTCCACTCGATTCATCCTCCATTTTTAAACCCCCATCTTTCTTGGTCCCCCACCAAATACCCCGTTTCTGCCATTTTTTTAAAAAAATAAAATAAAATTTGGGTCCCCTCGATACATAAAACTCGAAGAAAAAGGGTCCCACATTCGACTAGAGTTTCGTGCTATTGTTGATTCACAATTCCAGAGTCAAAATTTCAATCTTTTTGCTTTGCCAAAATTCTAAATCGAGGTATTTCGATTTATTTTAAGTTGAAACATTTATAATAATATATATTATTTGATTTGTATGTGTTCTATTTCGGTTTGTATTTTTTTTCGAAACTAGCATATTAAATTTATCCGGATTTAATATTAGTGTTTTATAAAAAAATATAAATTAGTAAAATAAATTTGTTTGTTAATATCCTGATTTATATATATGTGTTTTCATGCCGTTTTGTATTTTATTTGCAATTAAATTTATTTGTTGTTTATGGTTAGTTTAGATTATTTTTTAGCGTAGTAAAATCCAGACCTTTTTAGCGTAGTAAAACGTAGACCCTTATAGCGTAGTAAAATTTAGAGCCTTGTAGCGTAGTAATGTATAGTATTTTAGCATAGAATTCCTTTTGTTTAAGTATCTTATACTGGTAGTTGAAAATGCAAACTTTGTACAATTAAGTTAATAATTGTATCAACACACATAATTAGTAATTTGTACAATTAAGTTATTAAAAA